AGATATCTTTGGCAAAACGGACCAGCTGTCATTTTTAAGGCCAGCGCACAATAGATACGTTTCAGGTTTTTTGACAGTTAGCCCATGCATTAACTGTCAAAAAACCCGAAAACGTATCTATTGTGCGCCGGCCTTTACTCTAAACCGAGATTATCAGTAATCTTTTATTTGCCGAGATCAGCAATAAACTACCGAGATTCGGCAAAAAATCTAAGTGTGCAGGTCACTCAATATGATCAAAACTGATTGTTGTTTTAGTCTGTCTACTAGTACACTTCTAACCTGTGTACAATTTTTTTAAATTTTCCCCATATATGAGTGACCTACGTTTTAGCGAGTTTGAGCAATCTGAACTCAAATTTGTGTAGCAATTTTTGTCCATGTGCGATTGGTTTGGAAAGTATTTTTTTCTAAATCATTAAAAATAAACTCACGGTGACAGCCACGCCGCCGGCAGAAAATATCACGCCGCCGCCGAAAATATTCTGATCGGCGCACAGGTCTACATTGTATATGGTTGGCTTGCATGCCCTCAATATGATCTTTAAAAGTTATTTTTTGGTGAAGTACTAGTCTAAGATATTTCCCTTGGTTTGACCAAGAAATTGGAACTCCGTTCATAGTGACTGTGTGTCTACTACTAGGATTGAAAAGGGAAGCTCAAAACTTATAGTGTTATATTATAAGTTGAGTTTTGGAAGCGTTTTGAGAAATCTCCCATTTTTGTAAATAATAAGAGGAAATATCTAAACTTTTCTGCAGTCTGCTACAAATAACACGAAGACTTCTTACTATAGCAGAAATTCCTGTGTCATCAGCGAACAAAGAATTGTGTCAACCCTGAGACAAATCAGGGAGGTCCGAAGGGAAAATGAAATACAATATAGGCCCGAGAATGCTGCCCTGAAGAACTCCAGTTCAGGTGGTGGATCAGATTTGGAATTTGGATTATTTACCTGTAGAGTTCTGTTAGTTAAATAATTTTGAACTAATTTCATAATATAGAGTGGAAAATTAAACTTTTTCAATGTAGCAATCAAACCTTCATGCCAAACGCTATCTATTGCTTTTTCTATGTCTAGAAGCGCAACTCCAGTTGAGCTGCCTTCAGATTTGTTCGAACGAATTAAATTGGTAACTCTTAAGAGTTGATGAGTAGTTGAATGCCCATGGCGAAATCCAAACTGCTCATCTGCAAAAATTGAGTTCGCATTGATGTGAAGCATCATTCTATTCAAAATCATCTTTTCAAAAAGTTTCCTTATTGATGAAAGCAAACTTATTTGGACGGTAGCTAGAAGCTTCAGCTGAATTTTTATCCGTTTTCAAAATTGGAACAAATTTTACATATTTCCATTTATCAGGAAAGTATGCTAAATGGAAACATTTGTTAAATAATTTTACCAAGAAATACAAGGTACTCTCTGGGAATTTTTTTATAAGGAATATAGAAAATTCCATCATCACCTGGAGCTTTCGTATTATGAAACTTTTTAGTTATAGACCTTACTTCGTCCAAATCAGTCCCCTAGGAATCATCAAAAATATTTTCCCGAGAGAAAATATTCAGATAATCCCGAGCAACCTGATTCTCAATAGGACTAGTAAGACCCAAACTGAAATTATGGCAAGTTTCTGAGCTTTTTCCAAATTTGTGATCAAAATTTCACCACCTTATTTAAGCGCTGGAATAGGCTTTTGAGGTTTTTTCAAAATTTTTGTGAGTTTCCAAATGGGTTCGGAGCTCGGGTCTAATTTAGAAACATTATTTTCAAAAGTTTTGTTCCTCAGGGCAGAGAATCGCTTTTTAATTTGTTTTTGCAAATCCCGCCAGGTAACTTTCATGGCAGGATCACGTGTTCTTTGATATTGTCTCCTACGGACATTTTAAGACGGATCAAGAGCTGAAGATTGTCGTCTATTATAATTGAATCGAATTTAACCTCGCATTTTGGAACTGAGGCAGCTCTTGCTTCAACTATAGAAGTAGTCAGAGATTCAAGAGCACAATTAATTTCATCTTTGGTTTGCAAAGGAATGTTTGGATCGAAGTTATATTCCATAAATGTTCGATATTGCTCCCAATCAGCTCTATGGTAATTGAAAGTAGAGCTGTTGGGATTAGAAATTATTTCTTGGGATATTTCAAAAGTTACTGGAAGGTGATCAGAACCGAAGTCCAATTGGCTACAAAGTTGACATGAATCAGTTTTGACCAAGTCAATAGTTGAGGGATTTCTTGCTGAAAAAAAGCATGTTGGGCTGTTTGGACATTGAATAGTGTAATAACCTGCAAACAAAATCATCAAACAGAATATTACCATTGGAATTGCTTTGAGCATTATTCCATGAGCGGTGTTTTGCATTAAAATCACCAATAATGAAAAATTTAGACCTATGACGAGCCCTTGAGAAAATTCTTTTGCTGGCCTACGCATTGGAATGGCAAAAAGGCAGCTATAAACGTAAGTTGTTTAAATTTTGTTTCGACAGAAACTCCCTAAGTTTCAAAAACTTTGGTTTCTAATGAAGAAAGAATTTGATGCTTGATACGTCTTTGAACAATGATGGCAACGCCACCACAGGGTCCATCAAGACGATCATTTCTATAAATGAAATAATTTGCGTCCTTCTTAACCTTATGGTCAGGTTTAAGGAACGTTTCAGTTATAACGGCAATATGCACGTTATGAACTCTCAAAAAGATAAATAGCTCGTCTTCATTATCTTAAAGAGATCGATCATTCCCATTCAAAATATTTGATGATTTAAAATCTATTACTGATTTTCAAAGTCATGACTATGTTACTAGCATATTTTACTCCAGCATTAAACATGAAGTTAGTTTTCAGCATATCAGTAATCATATCGATTATTGATTTCTGTAAAAAATCCAGTAATGCTTCCTAAGTCAAAATCATCACAATATCCATTAGAATTATGTTGGCTAGAATTTTAATTTCAGTTTCTACTACCTCCATTAGCATAGCATAGGTAGCTCCATTTACTAGCTGAACATTTTTAACAGAAGGTATAGATGAAGAATCGCTTAGAACGAGATTGTGGGATCACTTTGCGAACTCTAGAACACTAAGTTGACAGCACGCTATAAGCTAATATGCGATGAGCAATATGCTTAAAATGCGGGGAAGAAGAAGACCACAATTTGAACATTTAAAATCCTGAGGATTTTCCTTCACAAAACAGGCATCCTTTGCGTGAGAGAAACCACCGTAATTCATACATTTAGCTGACATGTAGACATTTTTTTGTTCCGTGACACCATCGCTGGCACTTACGGCACTTTGGAAATTTTCTGAAGTGTTCTCACTTCACTTGGACATGGCGCATAAGGCTAGCCTTTTCTAAAGCCTTAAGGTTGCTTAGTTCACTAGACTTGAAGTGAACATAATAAAAATCATTAGACGCAACGGGATGCGCGAATCGCCTGGACGGGATTTCATATTCATTTTGATTGCTTGGACTAGATCAACTCCAAGTAATTTTGTCATTTCATCTTTGATTTGATCCAGGGATTCACCACTGGGCAGATCTTTCAAGCCAACCTTGAGCAGACGTTCAGGTTTGATGTCGTAAGTTAAAAAAATGTGTGGGTTTGATTGTGAAGTGAAAACTTGAATTTAACGAAGTTCAAAAGTTTCGTGGGAAGAGCATCGAAATCGGAAGTGGTTACCACAATAGGGGGGACCTTTTCCTTCTTGGCATTAAGCCGGGAAATTTTGTTAGATTTTTTCCTGGATGATGGATCATTCTCATCATCCGTGATCATGTCAAATTTATTGCGCAAATTAATGTCATCAATGGCGTCAGTAAACGTTTATCCAAATCGGCTTCCAAGCAGATTACTATAAGAATTCGAAATATTGCCTCGGGTAGGGTCCAAACAAGAATCGAAGAGGAAGAAGAGTCATACCAGGTACAATATGTGCAGGTAATATTTAGCACTGATTGCTGATTTAAACTTGTTGTAGCTTTAGCAGTAAGACTTCACAATGGGGACTGCTATTAAATATAATTTTTCTATTACTTCAAATTAGAGTCCTATAAGAGAGAGAAACGCAAATAATAATTTACAGAAAATATGTGAACGATGATTCTTAATAAGTATGAGTGCAAGACACTGAAGAAGTCTGCACATTGTTGATGAAATACACGTATCTGTCAAGGATATGCAAATAAGGTAGTGGAATTAAGTGGAAATTACTAATCCTTCTTTCTCTCTCTCTTTATACAGGTATTCTACTAAGAAACCCACATTCATCAGGATGATTCTTAATTTATTTTCATATGTTATCCTTACAATATATTAAGCCATAGTGCTTTTCCTATCCAAGATGGTTTTATTTTATTAAAATATTGTCATATTATTTTTGGGGTGATATAAATGCTACAATCTAATTAGAACTGTTTTATACCCACTGACAGGTCTTCAACTCGATAGGTTGCGCTTATGTGACAGACATGTGACACAATACTTAAACGATTCCAAATCGGATCCTGACTAACCTCTCAAAATTTGAACCCATTTGGTGAGAAACTGAGATGGCACAAACCATTTGAAGTTTGTATGGGAATTACTATGGTAAAACCAAGATTTTTGTTCATGTCTATCTAATAATTCACCATATCAATTTGCTTCAAAAACTTTCAACTACACTTGTAGGTCAAAGTTTTACCGAACGTTCAGCTGTTCTGATTTCGGTAAAATTTACCGAACACGAAAATTGAATCTAAGTGTGTACGTCGAAAAAAGCTGGGTTTTATTGTTTCAAATAAGTATCCACGTAAATTGCACCTTAAACCACAGTAATAGTTAAATGAGCCCAGCTATTTCCATAACCAGTTCTCTTCGATTTCACGATTCACCGGTAAACGCCGTCGACGTAAACATTGTTTAGAACGGTACCCAATTCGATTTGCATGTGTTATTTGCAAAAATTATCCACACCCCAGCTCAAATCAACCGTTCTCACGCTCACCTGCCAACGAAACGTAGTTCAAGTCCAGATAATCCACCAGCCCATAAAATAGAAGGACCTGTGATCCAACGGCCGCCACAAACTTGCCAACCTGCGACGAAGACTTCGTGTAGGATGTTATCCTCTGATAGCAGCTTCTATCCACTCGCGCATAAATGTAGGACCAAAAGGCCACATCTGCCGCTTTATAGGTCCCATAGAACACTTCAGCCAGCTGCAGCCATGTTAAGGCTTTTGTCCAAATGAACAACACATAGTACACGATCCCGGCCAATGCGGACAGGATAATCAACGGTTTGTACCGAAAATAGTCCGTTACCAGGAACGTTATCACAAGCTGAACACCGTACGAGTACGTTCCCACCGGAAACACTTCCTGATTGATCTGCTCGGCCGAAACATTGTGCCACGGGCCGTTCAAAAATTGCACCACAAACGGATCGCTCGGCCGAAAGTCTTTAAGGAAACCGAACAGACTCAACACCAGCGCAATCGAACGCCACTTTTCCATTATCTAAGAACTACGGAACAACTTGGAAGATCACCGACCACGGACGGATGCGATGGGACACAGACTGCTACTGCTGTCGAAGCTACCGATGTCGAAACAGCAACATCTTTCCGAACATTAATGCAAACCTAGTCATTATATATGGAGAGGGCGATTAGATGCAGCAATGCGCTGACGGTGTGAAATATTTATTATACAATAAATATATTTAACCGGAGTTCTATCGAGTGGGTAATACGAGAAGGCACGCGCCGATCGATCACGATCGCGTACCCGAGCTAGCAGTACTGCAGTAGTCTAGGTCTGGAACGGTAGGAGATTGACGCCAAACTGGAACTGGTTCTTCGATGGGAAACCGGTGCGGGTGGATTTGGTTTGAATTGTATTAACGGTTCGATAATAGATCAAGGCTCCACCCGCGTCATCAGGTTCGGGATGTCGGTTCAAAGTGATATCGTATGTAAATTAACTGGCACATTTAATGAACCAATTGGATCACGGAGTTCCCTTACTGTAGTCCAGTCGCTTACTCTACAATGTATGCATGTTTTTGTTTGTTTTGTGTTCACTAGGTAGGCTTTTAATAATCCTTATCTATGAGAGAGCAGCGGGTTGGGAACCAAAACAAGCCTGGCAGAAATTGAAAAATTTTAAATTTTCTGGAATTAAGAACATATTACAGACTTACATGAATGTTCAGTGAACATCAAGAAAATTCTACGAATTACAGAAAAAATTCTGGTAGCTTCATGAAAGTTCAACCAAGGTTGCAAAGACTCATTTCAGCTAAAATAATGTTTTTCGGAATAATAAAACCAAAAGATGGTATGATGGCATGTTTTACTTGTAACTTACAAGAAGAGGTTACAAAGTATGCGTTGGAAACATAAAACCTGTAAATTTTGCTTTCTATGAGTCACAATCAGCGATATGCTGATCGCTGAGTGAGTGAGTGAGTGAGTGAGTGAGTTTGTGAAAAATCGCTGATTGTGACTCTCATGAAGTGAAATAAACAGGTTTAATATGTCAAACACATTCTTTGCAACCTCTTCTTGTATCCTGCCAATTCAAAATTTGATCATGGCATCTAATTATTTCATAATTTAGAAAAACATTGTTTTAGCTGAAATGAGTCTTTGCAACCTTGAGTTCAACCCACTTCAGGAAACTTCAGGATATCTTGGACAAAATAATTCTGCGAGCTTCAGGAAAGTTCAGCACATTTTTGGAAAGTTCTGGAAACTTCATGAAGAATCTGGAAACTTTAGATAAGTCAGAGAACTTCATGGAAGTCTGTAATATTTTTAAAACGTCATAAAATTGTACTAAATTATAGAAAGTTCTGCGAACTTCAAAAGTATTCTGCCATTTTCAGTTAGGCCGGTGAGCTTCAGGGAGATTCTTGGGAGCTCAGATAATTTCAACGAAATTCTGGAAAGTTTAGAAAAGTTCAGAAAAATTTCAAGAACTTCAGGAAAATTCTGCAAATTTCAGGAAAGATCTGCCAATTTTTGGAAAATTCTACAAACTTCACGAAAATATTGCAAATTTCTGGAAAAAATCAAGAAATTTGAGCGATTTATGTAGTAAGTCTAGTAAGTCTACACACTTAGTTTTTTTTTGCCGAGATTGTCACCACCAACTAGCTCGGTATTTCAGTGAAAATCTTAACGAGATTCGTTACGAGATTAACTAGCCTACTCTCAAAAATAAAGTTTAAAAAAAATACCGAGATTCTGCTAACAATTTTGCAGAAATCTCAGCTAACGAACAGAAATTTTGCCGAGATCTCAATGAAAATAAATGCCGAGCTGCTCGGTGGTTCCAATCTCGTCAAAAAATCTAAGTCTGTATGAACTTCTGGAAAGTTTTACTTAATTCAAGAAAGTCGGCGAATTTCAAATTTTTTTTCCCAACTTCAGTAAAGGCGGCGAACTTCATGACAATTATGAGAACTTCAGTTAAGTCTGCTTCCATCAGGAAAATTCGGCAAACTTAAGGAAATCTCTGCAAGGATCAGGAAAGTCTGTGAACTTAAAACAAATTTTAAAAAAATACCGATCAACCTGAGGTCTGAAACTTTGCGCAGGGGCGATATCGTAACCAATGAGGTACAACCGAGGTGCGATTATTGCTTGTTGAAAACCTGAGGTCTTGAAAAAAATACTGACTTCAGGGAGGCCATGGTCATCTGTTGGTTTTTTTTTAAATAATTTCATGGGTGAACATCAGAGGAACTCGATTTAAATTGTTGGACAACTGAAGATCTTCTGCGGCACTGGTGGAGTAGTGGTAAGCGTGACTGCCTCGCACTCCAAAGGGCCAGGGTTCAATCCCAGTCGGCACCGTCGGGATTTTCTGTATGTCGCGTCTTCCTTCGGAAGGGAAGTAATGCCGTTGTTCTCCGGTCCATGAGCTGGTGAGTCGATAGGTCTAGGTGTGGGAGCTGCCTCCCTGGCGTCAGTAGCATTTGTACTCAGTACGGAAAACAAGATCGACAGAAAACAAATCAAGGGAAAAAAATTCCTGATCAACCGGAAGACTTGAAAAAATATCCTGAGGATTTCAAAGAAATCCCTGATCATCTATAGGTTTAGGGAAAAAAAATCTGATCATACTGGTATCATAAGTGAATAATTTGAGAGACGCTATTTGAAATCCTGGACAGTTGAAGATCTTCAGATTAAAACCTGATCAACCTGAAGGCTTGAAAAATTATTTTTAAATAAACTTCGGGAAATTTATTCCCAAACTCTAGAACAGTTCTATCCACAACTTGAAGCAAAGTTTTTTTTCAGAACTGAAAGGGAGTTTCTTTCCAGAATTTTAGAAAAGTTTTTTCCCAGAACTCCAGGAAAATTCTTCTCAGAACTTTAGGAATGTTCTTCTCAAAATAATTCCAAAAACTTCAGGAAAGCTCTTCCAAAACTTCAAAGAAGTTTTTCCCAGAACTTCAGAGATGTTCTTCCCAAAACTTCCCAGAACTGGAGAGAAGTTCTTCCCAGAACTTCATAAATGCTCTTCCTAGAAGTTCTTACCAGAACAGGGAAGTTCTTACAAGAACATCAGTAAAGTTCGGCAAAAAACTTCGGGGACGTTTTCCCATGAACTTTAGGGGCGTATTTTCCAAAACTTAAGGAAAGTTCTTCCAAGAGCTTTAAGGATTTTTTTCTAGAACTGCCAATTACTCCTATATATTCAAGGAAGTTCTTCTCAGATCTTTTGGAAGTTCTACCCAGACCTATACGGAAGTTCTTCCCAGAACCTCAGAAAAGTCCTTCCTACAAGTTCGGGAACTACTTCCCACAATTCCAGGGAAGTACTTCCCAGCACATGAGAAGAAGTTCTTCCCAGAACTTTAAATAAATTCTTCCGAGAATTTTTGGAAAATTTTCCTACGACTTCAGGGATTTCCTTCCCAGAACTTTAGGGAAGTTCATTCCAGAACTTGAGGAAAGTTCATCCCAGAACTTGAGGGAATTTCTACCCAAAATTTTAGGGAAGTTCTTCTCTGAACTTTAGGGAAGTTATTGTCAGAACTTCAGAAACTCAAACAGCACAAAGCTGTGTTGTCACATACAAGTTGACTCAACCGTTTTGCACCAAGTATGCTGATAGAAAAACTTCTTCGCATAACTTCAGAAAATTTGCTCACAAAACTTCAGAAAAAATCTTCCCAAAATGATAAGGACGTTCTTCCCAGAACTGGAGGGAAGTTGATCTCAAAACATGAAAGAATTTCTTCCCAGAGCTTGAGGGAAGTTCTTCCCAGAACTGGAGGGAAGTTCATCTCAGAACTCTAGGGATGATTTCTTCTCATAACTACAGTGAAGTTCTTCCCAGAACTTTTGGAAAGTTCCAATAATTGTAGGAAAAATTCTAAAACTTCTGAATCCCCGTAATTTTTGAGAAATTTCCTAAGCTTCATTGGAACAACAAGAACTTAAAAAGTATTTCCAGAATTTCAACAGAGTTCCCACAAATTCTGAAAACTTCGATGGAGTTCTCAGAACCATAACGGGCTCGTCAGACTTATCATTTATAGAACTTTTTAAATCTTGAATAAGCTTTTCAAAATTTACAGAATAAAAGCAAAAATTCTGAAAATTTCAGAAATTTCTTAACAAACTTTTGGAAAGTTTTGAAAAATACAGATTTTTTTATTCCCAGGAAAATTCAGCAAGCTTCAAGGAGGTTCAGATAATTTTTAGAAAGTTCTTCAAGTTCTGTTCACAAAAGTATATAGGCGTTTTTCAAATGTTACGCGAGAAGTATATATGAATAGTGTGAATAGGATGTAAACTATAAAAATTATGGTAATGTGTGTGCGCTTTTTTGTTGGCAAAAATTTCACGCAAGAAATGTGGTGTTGGCAACGATCAATTCTTGCACTCTTTCAGTGTAACTTTGGAAAATTTCCTGAAGTTCTCTTAACCTACCCATAAAGATCTTTAATCTTTCCCAAAGTTCTTAACTTTCATATAGATCTCGGAACTTTCCTGAAGTTTTTGGAAGTTCGCCCCCCTCGCATCGGATATTCACTAAAGTTTTTGGAACATCACTGAAGTATCCGAAATTAAACTAAAGAGCTCGGAACTTTCCTGATTTTTTCTCTGGAGTTCTCTGAATTTCTTAGAACTTCTATAAAATTTCCTGTAATCTTCCTGAAATTCTCTGATATGTACCACGAACACAAAACGTATAAAAACCGACCACCCATCTTTATTCATTGCCAGTGGCGGAGCGATATTTATCCACTCAAGAGCGCCATGTAAAAATTGGAATGCTTAAATTCCTTAATGCCTTTTGAAATGTAGCTACAGTTGAGATTCACTCGTTGGGGTCTCGTTAGTACTGGATTTTGACCACCTTTAACCGTGCTTCCGCGTTATCCCGGACCGTTGTCAAGTAGCAATCGTCTCCGCAGTCGATTGAGATCCCCGGAAGAACTTCTCCCGTGCCTGATCGATGACCAGCTTCACACTTGCCAATAATCAATATAGGGGAAATGTATGTAATGTCGGCCTAAGTATCCCTAATTTCGGCCC